CTTTTAGGACAATTGGGATAGAATGAATGTATTTTGCATGGTGAGAAGTCATAAGGTTTGAAGGCTAGGGGTGGAATGCTATGGTTTGAATGTGTCCCCTGAAGTTCACATGTTAGAGGCCTGATCCCCAATGCAACAGTGTTGAGAGGTGATTAAGTAATGAGGCCTCTGCCCGCAGACACTGATTAATGCCACTTCACAGGAATGAACTGGTTGTCACAGGAGTGAGTTCCACATAAAAAGATGAAGCCAGTCCTCTCCCTAGCCACCCCTCTTCCCCTCTCTTACCCTTCCGTTTTCTGCCATGGAATGACACAGCATTAAGTCCCTCACCAGATGTGAGCCCCTCAACCTTGTACTTCTCAGCCCCCAGAACTCTAAGAAGTAAATGTTTATTTTAATCTTAATAAATTACCCAGTCTCAGGTATTCTGTTATAGCAGCACAAAATGGACTATTCCCCCATCCCCTTCAACACCATGTATAATCATTAAATAGAATGAGTAATCTTGCCAGAACTACAATCTTACATTCAGTTTTGAAACTGTAGTTTCCCCCAGTTAGCACTGTTCAATGAATTTTTGTTATGCCATTATGTAAATGTAGTCTATGTTCATTATCTCTGTCTTATTAAATTCATCAAAAGCTGTCCAGGAACAGATTTTCTGTTTTGTCAACTACACCCATGATCTTGTTCCCAGATTTTTCATCAGTATTTTCAGACTGTGAGGGAAGGAAAGCAAGAAATGGGAACAATTTCATGAATTTTAACTATGCTGTAACTCTGTTTTAGTACAATAAAGTATATAGCCGTCTGCAGTTGCTTCCAGCATACCCCAATCTCAGGGCAGTGCCAGGTTAGTGCAGTTGGTTAGAATGTGGCAATATGTCCAAAATTATTTCCCATGTGAATCAATTGGCTTGGCTGTGCTGAGAAGAATGTCTTCAGTGTCAGTCTGAACTTTTGAGGCCAGCAGTCTGGAAAATCTGCGCCTCTGATTATTGAGGTTTGGAGATTTCCAAAGACCTATTATTGACTTCTAATTCCATTGTGGTTGGAGAACAATACTGTATGATTTTCATCCTTATAAACTGAGATTTATAACCCAGAATATGGTCTTTCTTGGCACATGTTCAGTATGCATAAATATGGCACATCTCTCCATTTATTTAGCTCTTTCATTTAAGCAATGTTTTGTCACTTTAGAGTACAGCTCTTGCATGTCTTTCATTAAACATATTCCTAGGTATTTATAATACAGATGCTCCTCAACTTATGATGAGGTTATGTCTGAATAAACCCATCCTAAATGGAAAATACTGTAAATCGTAGTGGGGTTTCAACTCAATATTTTCAACTTACAATGGGTTTATCTGAATGTAACCCCATTGTAACCTGAGGAGCATTCTGAATGTCTATCACTTTCACATCATTATAAAGTAAAAAAAAATCGTAAGTCAAACCCTCCTAAGTCAGGGATCATCTGTACTATTATAAATGGCATATTTTAACATGTCATTTTCCAATTGCTGCTTACTAGTATATAAAGTATTTTTTTGTATATACTGAGCTTTTACCCCATGACTTCAACATCCAGTAGATGTTGAAGATTTTCCACATGGATAGTCTACAAAACACAATTTATTTAGTAGCTTTGAAAAACAGATTTTCTACATAGACCACTGTGAATAGACAGTTTTGCACTTTTCTAATATTTATCTTTTATTATTTTAATTATTTATTGTACTGTCTAGAATTTCTGAATAGAAGTGATGAGGGCCGACAGCTTTACCTCGTTCCCAATCCTAGGATTGGATATTTCACCATTAAGCATAATAGCTATTGATCTTTCACAGATGTCCTTTATAAAGTTCTCTTTTATTTCTAGTTTCGTGATTGTTATCATGAGTTGGCAATAAATTATGTCAAATGCTTTTTCTGCCATTATTAAGATTTTCTCCTTTATTAATGTTGTAAATTACTGTTTATTAATGTTGGGCAAATATTGCATTCTGGATAAACCACAATTGGCCACTGCATTTTATTTTTTTCTGGGTTCAATTTGCTAGTATTTTCTATAGGAATTCTGCATCTGTATTAGTGAGTAATATTAGTTTGTGGTTTTTTTTCCTCTAATGTCTGTTAGATTTTTCCGAAGGCTCTGCTGTTACTCCTTCCTCCTCTATTCTCTGAGTTTATATAAAATTGACATTGTATGTTATTTAAATGCTGGATAGAATTCACTAAGGGGGATGGTTTTCTTTGTATTTTTAAATTATGAATTCAAATTTTGTAACAGATATACAAGTACTCAGATTTTCTATTTCTTCTTCAGTGTTTTGATAAGTTTTTTTTTTTTCCAAAAAACTTTTTTTCTTGAGACAGAGTCTCGCCGTCATCCAGGCTGGAGTGCAGTGGTGCACGCTCAACTCACTACAACTTCTGCCTCCAGGTTCAAGTGATTCTCCTGCCTCAGCCTACCAAGTAGCTGGGATTACAGGTGCATGCCACCACACCTGGCTAATTTTTGTATTTTTGTAGAGACGGGGTTTCTCCAAGTTGGCCTGGCTGGCCTCAAACTCCTGACCTCAAGAGATCCACTCGCCTCGGCCTCCCAAAGTGCTGGGATTACAGGCATGAGCCACCATGCCTGGCCCCAAAAACTTTTTATTCTAAGTTATCAGATTTTATTGGTATAAATTTGTTTATAATATTATTTTATGGTTTTAATTAGAATTTTTCAATCTCAGCACTATCGACGTTGCAGGCCAGCAAATTGCTGTGGGGGACTGTCCTCTGCATTGCAGAATATTCAGCTGTTTCCCTGGCCTGTCTTCTAATAGCAGACTCTCCAACTGTGACAACCAAAAATGTCTCTGGACATTTCCAAATGTTCCTTGGGGGGAAAAAACCCTCTGGTTGAGACCCACGTTTTAATGTCTGTAGAATCTTTAGCGTTCTTTCACTCCAGATACTGGTAATTTGTCTATTTTTAAAATGAGTTTTTCTAGAGTTTTGTAGGCTGTACAGAAGAAGACTATGCACTGGACTTGGCCTGTAGACCACAGTTTGCTGATCCTGACTTAGATCACTGATTTTTTTTCTTCTTTTCTAACAAAGGCAAGAAAAAACTATAAATTTCCCTCTGAGAATACTTTAGTTGTATTTCACAAACTTTGAAATGTTGTATTGATGGATATTAGCCAATTAATGGTTATGGAGAGTGTTTATGAAGTAACATGAGCTTGACTGTTATTCCAATAAAAGAGCTTACAAACAGACTTTTGGTTCTGTGATAGATGAGCAATGAAGAACAATAAGTACTTTCCCAACTAGTTGATAAATTAACATCAACATCCATAATCTGGCAACAATATTCTTTTGGTTCCTATCCCTAAAAAAAGCCAGTCTGCAACATCCAAAACATTTACCAACACAAGGAAATTGCAATGATTTTCCTGTACCTTATGGAGTATTAATTTGCTGCCACCTGCTGGGAGGCAGAAATGGGTTTCCAGCATTGCTAGCTACAATTTGTCCTCAACTGTTTATTTTGAAAATTTTCAAATCTATAGAGGAGTTAAAAGAACATTCATATACTATTCATCTGGCCGTTTTTTTGTTTTGTTTTGTTGAGACTGGAGTCTCTGTTGCCAGGGTAGAGTGCAGTGGCCCAATCTCGGCTCACTGCAACCTCTGCCTTCCGGGTTCAGGTGATTCTCCTGCCTCAGCCTTCGGAGTAGCTAGGACTGCGGGCACGCGCCACCAAGCCCAGCTCATTTTTGTATTTTTAGTAGAGATAGGGTTTCACCATGTTGGCCAGGATGGTTTTGATCTCTTGACCTCGTGATCCACCCGCCTCCGCCTCCCAAAGTGCGAGATTCCAGGCGTGAATCACTGCGCCCGGCCCAGGTTCAAATTTTTTAAATCCTTAAGGCTATCTAGTTGACAGCTGTCTTTAATGTAGATCAGTCCTCCTGCCTTTTTTTATTGTCTTCCATATTAACCTTATTGAAAGGTCCAAACAAATCTCATTCTGAATTTATCCGAGTGTTTCCTCACAATCAGATTCAGGTTAAACATTTTTGGCAAGAGTGTTACGTAGGTGTATTTCCCATAGCCTCATAATGACAGGTTCATATTTTCGCCGGTATTGGTAATGCTAGCAATTTTTTTTTCCCATGAAGCATCTATTAACATTTTGCAAGAGACTAATGTTCCACGGAAATGTGTTCCCCAAGCTGTACTGTTTAGAAAACTTCTGAATAAAAAAGTGACATGCATGAAAGTGTTTTAGAGTTTGTAGAATGAAAAGCAGGTTAAGGATTAACTCAATTTTAAAATTAACAAACTTCTTCACTTCTAAGGTAGCACAAACTGGGCTTTCATGAAACGTAACCCTTACCAAAACAATTGTTCAGATGAGCAACGCCAAGTTTAAAGAAAGGAAGTAAAACGTCTCAAGAACTGTGATTGTTTGTGTTCAATAACTGAGATTTGAAAGGTCTGATTCTATGTTCTCTCCACTAGATCCTTGGCTTCATTTAGACTTGTGCTTAATTTTCTGTCATCGACTATTGAGTCTACACTCACTCTTTAAAGTGGTAGTCTTTTAGTCCAAATAGTAATAATGAAAATGGTGAGACCAGTAATTCATTTTTTATTATTCCATATTCAGTAAGAATCAATCTGTATCTAATAGCTGAAAAGGCCTGAAGCCTCCCAAATGCATGTCATTACACAAATTCTGTGTGAGGACTGACATCTTGGTTCCATATACTAATTATACCGCATGGCCCCCATTTATAACCATATCTACTTGTCATAATTCGATCCTGGCTGCTGCCTATGGATGCTATCTTTATCACATTATAGCAAACACTTGGGTGATTAAGTTCTCAAAAATTCTAGAATAGCATACAACGGCTTTACTACTTATTACATCATCTAAGAGGTTTTTTAAAAATTAGTTACCACTTCGCCCACGCAGTGATGTAGCAAATATTATGCCATTTCAGGCTTGTGCCTTTCCCCCCTCGGGACTTCCCGTGGACATCCCTGCAGCAGTGAGGCTGAGTCCTGGCTTTGGGTGCATGTTAAGAAATACTAATCAAAACGAATGGGTGCCTTTCAAGAGAAAAAAATTGTGGGAACTTCAACCTTTAAAAACCACGCCATGCTTTAAAAACGTAAAACTCTATTTCGGCCGAACGCTGAGCATTTCTTCAAATCACTATGAGAAGCTTGAATGTCTTTAAATTCACCGGTCTGTAAAACGTAACGCGTCTCTCCCTCACCCCACATTATAAGTTTCCAAAGAGCGGAAGAAGGGGCTCCGGGGGTCCCGGCCCCAGGCTGCTAGGGGCTGACGGCAGGACTCGGCCTCCGTCCGACTCGAGGGTGTCGCGAAGGCCGGGAGGGAACGAAAGTTACCCTCGAACTTCGGAGGCGAAAGAGTCCATGTGGACCTTAAAAAGGGCAAAACCTACCCTAAAGGACGTAAACCGCCCTCCCCTTCCCCGCCAGAGAACTTCCCGGCGTAGAGCTTCCGCAGCCTGCCGCAAGCCGGGAGGCCTTCACGCTCACGCGCTCTCCGCCACACACCGGAACTGCGCGGCCACGTCCGCGGGGACCCTGGCCATGCCCCGCGCCGCCACCCGGCCCCAGGCGATCTACGGGCCCCACGCGCCTGCAGTCGGCGCTGCTTCTGCGTGGGAGGATCCGGCGGAAGGGGCGGGGTCAGGCGGCACTTCCGTGACTTCGGGAGGGTGAGTATGGGGAGTGCGCGCGGCGTTAGGGAGTCGGGCCTGGGCTCCCGCCTATGGCCGCCCTCCCGCTGGGGGGCCAGCGCGGTCCTCCGGGGCGCCCCCTGGAGGATTTGGGGTGGGGGAAGGAAAAGGAGAGTATTATCGAATATTCTCCTGATACTGATGTTAGGGGTGCGGATATGTGTGGACAGGCAAGAGTCGGCAAATGGGTTCAAATGGAAGGTTTAACAGAGGCCCCGTACGTAAAGTGTTTTAAAATTCTCATTTTGGTTAGGTTTCTCAGGTTATTTTTGAGCCACAGCAAGGCAGCTTTGTTAAGGTGGCTCATCTTTTGTCGCTGCCAAACCAGGTGAATGGTTAACCTGAGGCCGGGTCGGAGAAAGCCATTATGACTTCTACCAAAGAGTGAAATTAAAACTCTTTTCCGGGAAATAAAATCGAGGATATAAAAGTAGGATTCAAACTAAAAGTTACAAACAGTATCTAGGTTCTGTCACATGCTGTGCCGGGCTGGGGCTAAATCTCAGCAGAGGGCATGCTGTCTTCATACGTATTTCTCATTAGAAAATGAAAGACAACCTAAACCAAAATAATATGATAAAAAATGTTTATTATCTGTCTTAAGAGTTGTACCCTAATCCATATGTTTGGAAAACATAAACTAATAAAACTTTTCCAACTTGGTAGAAAGCCAAAAGTTTCCAGAAAAACTGTGTGGATTATTCAGCATTTTGCGGTTGTCTACAATGTTCAGAATATTCTTTTACAATAATTTTGCACTAAATACTGGTTTGTGTTCAGGGTAAAAAGAGGTTTTTAAAAAGTCAAAGACAGGGACAGGTACTTTAAGGTCTGTATCCTATTAGGAGAGAAAAAATAAGCATGAAGTTACATAACCATAAGAAATGTAAATCACCATTTGAGATATTTGGTGTCAAAAGAAAACCTTTATTTAGAATGGAAAGAGCTGGTGAATGCTTGAAACATTTACCATTTAGCTGATTGTTGCCACATGGGAATGTGGGTCTCTCAAACGCAGATCCGATTATCTCCAACACAGGCCAAAGATCTGTATTTTTGCGTAATTTTTCTTGATTTTTAATGTTACTTGCAACCAATTTAGTTAACCCACACCTTCTCTGGGTGGGCCAGGTGCAACTAGTTTGTGACCTCTGCAGATTTTCACCTTAGTACAGTACTACACTTACAGAATGGTTCAGTTAAAGATTTTTTGACTTTGCAGTGGGTTTATCAGACACAAACCCCATCGTAAGATGAAGGCTCTCTGTATTCAGAAATAATTGGAATTAGAGATCAGAAAAAGTCCTAGAGATCGGGATCGTCAGGAAAGATTTTAAGCTGAGTAGTATAGGAGAGAGATCATAGAGGAAGAAGGATGTAAAAGATGAGTTAAATCTTGGGATTGGGAGAGTGGTAGGTTTGGAAGATAGTAAGTAAACTCTCCTTAGAGGAAGTTTGGAAAGGCAAGTGCAAGGGGTGCTGCTGGTCTGGGGACTACACTTTGAGAACCACTGTCCTAGGGTATGGTGAACTTTTGGAGGAATTTGAGTAGGAGGGTAAGGAGATCACATTCACCTTTCAGGATGAGTCTTGCTGTGAAGTCTGGAAGGAGGACCGAGGAAGGAGAGAGAAAAGAGGAACGTTTCTTAGAGGCGATTAGCACCTGCTTGATGCCAGGCCCTGTCCCAGGCTCTCTCATGCATACTGTCTCGTTCATACTCACCACGACCCTGATACGTAGATCTTAATGTTTTCGTTTTGTAAGTGAAGGAACTTTGAGAATATGAGAAATTACCCAGATATCATAGTTGGTCTCAGAGCTTCCTAGTTCAACTCTAGATTTGAAATAGGGTGGTAGCAGTGGGAATGTATCAGAACATTTAATGGTGATGGAATTTAGAAAAATAGAGACTTCACAAGCACGTTTAAGCCTAAAAGTGGAAATTTGGAAATCTGAATCTTACTGGAAAAATGATAAAAGGTAAAGTGGACAGAGAACTTTAGAGAATCCCTTCATGAATTTAGTATTCATTCTTTATTACTCTTCACTCACGGTGACCTATTTAAAACCTATTTAAAAGTTGCTTATTTAAGAAGTCATCCTGCTCTACAAAATTTCTGAAATTATTTGAAAAAGAGAAAATAAAGCCTTCTGTTGGGGGAGAGGAGGAGTGGAATGTGGTAAACAGATTAATGGCATTTGACAGCTTATCTTCAGTTAGCATTGAGAAATGGAAACACATGATACAACACTGCATTGCCTATATGAATTGTGCTGTGCTGCAGACACTGATCTACTGTATTGATTTTGGAAATTCTGTATGCTTTTTCTTGCCAGAGTAGTTATTGAAATTGAGAATATTCATTGGATCAATTTCAAGATAAATATCCCAAGTCAGACTGCTGCTGCTGAGCAAATTTTTAATGAAGGAAAATATCCATATATTGAAATCAGTTTAAAAAGAAAGTCCTTGAAGTAAATATATATTACTGTAAAATCTGGAAAAAAATGTACATTTTATAAACATCAATTAACTGAGTAATCAGTGTAGTAGAGTTATTGACCCATGCAGAATTATGGCATACATTCATTAATTCTGTGAGCAAATAGTTGTGCTATAAATACAAAGATAACTGATATGGTTTGGCTGTGTCCCTACCCAAATCTCATCTTGAATTGTAACTCCCACAATCCCCACGTGTCATGGGAGGAGCCTGGTGGAAGGTGATTGAATTATGGGGACAGGTCTTTTTCCTGTGCTGTTCTCATGATAGTGAATGAGTCACATGAGATCTGATGGTTTTAAAAACAGGAGTTTCCCTGTACAAGCTCTCTCTTTGCCTGCTGCCATCCATGTAAGACATGACTTGCTCCTCCTTGCCTTCTGCCATGATTGTGAGGCTTCCTCAGCCATGTAGAACTGTAAGTCCATTAAACCCTTTTTCCTGTATAAATTACCCAGTCTCAGGTATGTCTTTATCAGCAGCGTGAAATCAGACTAATACACTAGATATAGCCTACTTTGAGGTATCTTACTGATCTTGTAAAGCTGGGGAATTTCTCTTGTATTTTATTAGTGCTTAGCTTACAAATTGTAGGATGAAGCCATATTCTCAGGAATCCTGAAAATTAGTTGAAACATTTTGATTTGATTATTATTATTTTATGGCTGTTATGCTTTTAATGGAGGCAGATACAAAATTCATCAATGCAAAATAATGTTTTAAATACTCATTAACATAGTGATTAATGTAAATTATATTTTGACAATGTAAAATACAGTGTATTTGGCCTCAAAAAAGAAACTACAGCGTTAGCTGCAACTTAAGATAACTGGAAAGGCTCCTGACATTGTTTTTTGCCCACCACCTTTATTGTAATAGTTCTGTATGATATCTGGGGAGGGAATTAAAAAATAATACAAAACTCTTTCAGCTGTGGTTCAGAGAACTGTAGTGAAGCTGTATGACAATGATATTGTGAGACCCTGAAGTTTCTCCAGAAGTATTTCAAGAAGAGGCAGTTAAGAAGCTTAATAGTTTCAAAGTCTGGAAAGCAGCAAATACATCTTAGAGAATTTAAAAACATTATAAACCCCACTTCTCTTCTACAGAGACATTTTAAAGCATGGACATAACTTTAAGGAGATAGAGAAAACCTCAGTAGTTTTCATAAAGCTTCAATGAACACACCCCAAGGCACAAGTGTTGAAAATGGCCTGTTCACTAAAATGTCACTTTTGGAGGTACAATTATGCTGTGCTTACAGTGAGAGGACGACTTTATCCCTGGTTAAAAGCACCAGGTGTCAAGCTCTGCTTCCATTACCCAGGATGCACCAATAATCCCTATGATAGTGAATGGTTCAAATACTATACTACATTTCCAACATGTCTTTTGCCTATTTGCTTATTTGTTACTGGGGTTCTTTTGAACCCCACAGGTCTGTAGAATATTTTAAAAGGCTAGAACTACCTTAAAAATAGTCTTGAAATAATATGGAGCCCTTCTAAAAGAGCTCACTGGATATTTTAATAACATTTACAGAAAGAAAGAAAGGAAAAATTTGCAGTAGCTGAATTTCTTTCAAGTGAAGAAGAATAATGTAGAACATGTAATCTAAAATGTTTGATAATTAATGTCAAAAATTGCCAAGATTATTAATATATATTTTGGTAATCACTATTGGCCAAGTTAATTTTTTGTGCAAAATACACTATATGTTAATAGAACAGGAAAATCATTATTTCAGACCACTAACAGAAGAAAACCCACAGCTAGAGAAGCATCTATAGGGCAATTAAACGTTAGGGAAGTTTACTAGCTTGAGAATACATCAATACACTTCGATTACAGAAATATTTCATTTTTAAAACTAGACTGTTTTGATGTACTTTTTGTAACGACCTGATCTAAGGAGCCTTGGAGGCTTGTGAAAAAGATGTATCCACAAAGATGCTGCATTTCTAGTGTGGGGGTGAATTAACACTTCTGTAAGAAGGAAGGAACTGAATCAGCTCAGCATCAATAAACAACATTTTTCTTTTAAACAGTAACTCATAATCTGATGACTCACTTCGCTTTGCTAGTTCAAAATTAGGCAGAGGAAGAACTAAGCTAACGGGTCAGACCCAGAAACACAATGATTTGGCAAGCCTCAGTCACTCAGCTCATGATGTGTGATAATCAGCAGAAAGGCTCCTCAACTCTTGTCCATTCCTTCACATCTGTAGATGAGTTCGATATAACCACTTCTTTTTATCAACTTACCAACTTTAAGCTGCCTACAGGCAAAGAGATCACAAACTGCAGGGAGGCCATAATGGTCTGGGGGAAAGTTATATTCTTCCTGTAGAGGTGAATTAAATAATACTTCCCAGGCTTTCTTTCGAAGCAGCCACTTGTCTTCTCCAGAGGATAGCTGGTTGAGGTTGCCCATCTTCTTTCCTGGTAGGACCTAGTCAGCTGTGTTAAAGGGA